GACAATATATATACTATATATATATATATATATATGTATTAAGCTAATGAATACATGGGAAATCGAGTTTATTTTTATTTAATTCACACATTTTAAACTTTTAATTATATTTTAATATTCCAAGTTAAAAAAATTTTAACAAATTATTAAAATAAACATAGTACGTATGTACACATCGATTGCTTGATTTTTCTTTATCCGATTTTTCTAAAAATTGCAATGGCTTTATAAAATGGTGACATTTTATTTCAAAAAGCAGGATGTACTTGACTTTCTTTCCTTAAAATCTTCTCGTTTTTCTTCAAATGGCTTGTTTCTCTTTTTTTTTCTTCTTCTCCGTAACGAAACAAAAAGAACCCATGTTTTTACATGTCGCATAATTCAGTCATTTCCACAGTCTTTTGACGCACGCAATTTTGACTGAAGCGTTGAAAGGTTCCGTGCAAAAGATCACTCGTGGAGAAAAGAAAAATTTCTTTCATAACGTAATGGGATTTTTGAAAAAAAGTTTCGATGAATGTAAAAGTTTTCTGAATCTTGAGCTTTAAAGTAAATCTTTTGTTTCAGAGAAATATTTTTCCCATCAAGCTCAGCACGATCTTAAAGATTTTGTTTTAAGGATTGTTCCTGCTCTTTTATTATAATCATAATTCTTGACATAATTGGAAAGGGGAAGTAATTATATCCAGGTTTTGTTATTAATATATATATTCAGATGGATTTCGCCGATCATTAATAAAGCTCAAAACTTAGTTCATTAAAGTGAATTTTTTTTGTTAATAACTAGGAACAAATATTTAAGTGATGTAAAAGCTGGAGAATATGTTTGAAGCAAAGATTTAACTTTACCCCTTGCTTAGTAATGCTATATATATTTTTCCTAGGCATGTACAATATTGAAATATAATTCTGCAGGCCAAATTATATTTTTGTTGTTAGTAAGATTGATGTCGGATAGTGTATAAAAAGTTGTGTATAATAGCGATGTATGATGATCTATGCAATGATAATTGTATAGTGTGTTAAATTTCAATAGAATAATAGCGCAGTAGTAAATAATTCCTATGACTTGCAACACTTTTAAATATAATTATTATAAACAAAAAATATAGTTAGTACGAGTGTGATTGTGTGTTGTATAAAAATATGCGTACAATAATTTTGTATGATTATCTATGCAGTGATAATTTTATAATGCGATAAAATATAATAGAGTAATAACTAGTCCCATGACTTATTGTAAAATAATTAAATATAATTCTTATGAACAAAATATATTTTTATTGTTAGTACGATTGCAATTATTTATTGTATAAAAATAGTGTATAATATTGATGTATGATAATCTATGCAGTGATAATTGTTAGTGTGGTAAAATATAATAGAATATAGCTATTCACATGATTTATTGTAAAATAATTAAATATAATTACTATAAACAAAATAATTTTTTATTGTTGGTAGGAGTGTGATTGTGTAGTGTATAAAAAGTAGTGTATAATAGCGATGTATGATAATATATGCAGTGATAATTGTATAGTGTGGTAAAATATAATTGAATAATAGCTTAATAGTAAATATTTCCCATGACTTGCAAAACATTTAAATCAGGGTTGGCTGGTTTTTGACATGTGACAGTATTTGACGGTTTGAACCATGGTTTAAACCGTCACGTCGAAAACCTCACTGTCAAAAATGTCAAAAGCCTATATTCATATGTGAAATTTAATTAATACATAAAATTTATATATTTTTTATAAAAGATAGTGTTTCTAAATATGTTCTAGAAAAAATAAATTTAAAATTTTGAAGAAACACTTATATTTTGAATAGTAACCAAAATCTTGTACTTTTGAAAGCTCACATCTTTTGTAATATTATGTATTCATTTTCATGTGTTATTGAAAATCTGCAGTGATATTATTAAGAAATTTATTTATAACCAAATTTAGTGTATAGTATAGATTATACTAAAAATTAGACATTTTTAAAGATAAACATTAGCAGTTTTGTACATTAGACATCTTTTAAAGAAAAATCTTTTTAATATTCTTTTAAATCTTCTTAATAATCTTTTTAACATAAGACAATACAAATTTAAGTGCTTTCTGTTAAATACACAGAGTAGTTAGTGTCGATTTACAGTATATTCAGCCTATTCATTTACTATGCTGAAAATTTAGTTTATCCAAATACTTGTGAATTTCATTTTGCTGAATACTATATAGTTTTGTTGAATATCTAAATATTCAGCTGTTGAATAATTACTTCTTGCTTTCAAGATATGCATTATTTGTATTCTTAATACAAGTGGAGAAAAAAAAATTAAGAGATAAAAATTGTTTTAAAATGATAAGTGTAATAATTATAAATAAATATAATAAACAATATGAATTATATTTATCATTATTCATAAATATAACTACTTTTAAATTCAAATTAACATACTGGATAATAAAGATATTCGGTATAACATTAAAAAAAATTTTTTATACACTTGTATCTTGTATCAAGTTTGTATTTATACAACATAACTTGTAAGTTCCTTATAAATATTAGTTATATGTTCCTTATATGTCAAAAATGCATAGTAATAAACTTTTAATTTTCTTAAGTATCAAAAAGAAAAAAAAAATTTTTTTAAATATAAATATTTAAACAATTTTTGTGCAAAATTTTTCTGCACATGCATTTGAATATAAATTTCTGAGATTTTAAATCTGTTATTTTACCTTAATTTTAATTAAAAAATATTTTAAAACCTGCTGATTACCTATAGCATAATTAAATTTCAATATAATGCATGACAACTGTTGGTAGTTTTGAAATTTGTATATTTTCTTGGCAAACTTCAGTTTTTGACGGTTTAAACCAGTATTAATCCCTTGTCATGTCAAAAACCACTTTTTGACGTCAAAAACCCAACCCTGATTTAAATGTAATTCCTATAAACAAAATTTTTTTTTATTGTTAGTACGAGTGTGATTGTGTAGTGTATAAAAAGATGTGCACAATAATGTTGTATGATATTGTATACGATAAGTGTAATTTTATAGTATATTTTACCATAAAGCACTTAATAAAAATATAGTCAAAACAACCTGAATATGGTGAAATATGCGGCACTATAGAGCCACGGAAAGGCTCGGTAATTTTTACTTATGCTCTTTTTTAATTACTTTTGGTTATATTAACACTAAAATATGGTTTCTTAATATGTGATATAATTTGATAAATATAGTAATTTAATCATGATGCCTTAAAGCATGGCAAAAAAAATTTCTTTTAAATTTACTTTTTAGTTTTGTATTTTTTGCTAAATATTTGCTAAACAGAACCATGTTTTTGAAAACCAGAATTCCAGGTAAGCCTTTACCATATGAACAGAAATACCACTAAATAAATGGTTCAAATACCGTATATTTTAGTTTTATTAACCAGAACTAAGTTTCTTTTTTCAATTATTATAATGTTATCAACCTTTTTACTTTTTTAAACAAAATATTCAGGTCTTAAATGTCATTACCATTCAGTACATTTTAATAATTTCTCCGTGTATATTAGAATAATTATAATTATTTCTCTAGCCTTGTAAGATATACAAATATATTTCCTGTTAACAATACAACATTTTGGTTGCATGAGTCTTAAATTCATTAACATTATAATTTAGTCGTATATTTCCAGTGCAATTAATTTAATATTAAAATTTAAAGTAAAAAGGCTGATTACATTTTTAATTTAATTTTGTTTTTTTCTAGATTTCTGTGAACTAAAAGAATGTTCGAATGTTCGTTATTTAAATTCTTCAATGAAAACTATTAAAGTAAAATCTATATTTTAAAGGAATTTTTTAAAAGCCGAGGAAAATGAAGAAAAAAAGCTGCAGCTAATTGGGCGTGAAGCTAAAATTTTAAACCATACCGTAAATAATTATTTGGGTTTTAAAATGGATAAACAGTTAATATATTTGAAGAAAGTATTTAACTTAATAAATAATCGGATATCCTTCTGTATTTTTTTACAATAACATAGAAACTTCACATAGGGTTAAGCAATTTTGAAGCTGAGGCAAAAAGAATCAAGATTTTTTTCAATTCAACAATTTTCTAATCCATGCTTCTGTAAGGTTGTAGATTTTGAATTTAAGACAATTTATGCGAAAATAGTATAAATTTAAGGAGTATTTCATGAAAATTATATAGGTACTACAGTTAATGCCATTTAATATTACGAAATGTTTTGTTATTTATATCAATATACAAACAAAATATTCAGTTTTGATTTATAGTTTAAATTAGAACTCATGTATCTTATTTTACGTTAGATAACTTTAAAAGTTCTGATTTCTTTTAATTTTGTCATTTAGGTAAAGAACTGCCAAAGCAAATTCATTTTAAGAAAAACTTTTCCAAGAGCATTAAAGAAAATAAGAACTACATAGGTAAAATACTTTTACTTTTTAAATATTTTTTTAATCAAATATATTGTTTTTTTAAGTTTGTATATGTAAATATGTTTACTTAGATAACTTCATTACAGAAAATTAGAACTAAATAGCTAAACATTTCTGCGTTTTGAAAAAAATTACAATTTTAGTTAGAGTGCATGTAAACACTTCACTTACATAACTCCATTAAAGAAATTAAGAACTACGAAAAAGTATTTTTATATTTTATAAATATTCTTACATTTTATAAATATTTTTATATTTGATAAATATTCTTATATTTTATAAATATTCTTATATTTTATAAATATTTTTTTATTTTATAAATATTCTTATATTTTATAAATATTTTTTTTTATTTTATAAATATTCTTATATTTTATAAATATTTTTTATATTTTAAAAATATTTTTATATTTTATAAATATTTTAATGTTTTATAAATATTCTTATATTTTATAAATATTTTTATATTTTATAATGAAATTATAAAAAATTTAATTTTTAAATAATGCATGTATAAAAACATGTTGCTTCCATGACTCAATTAAATCCATTATCTTATTTTTAACGGAATTTAAAGGTTTTTTTGTTTGCTATAGCTACTTGCTACATGATTTCTATTTAATGCCAATACAGTTAAACTAATATACAAATAAACTGATTTCAAAGATGCTAAATACAATGATGTCCGTACATTGTAAAACGGTCATCATCATATTGCACAATGTTTATGATATAATTTATTACCTACTCAAACAGTCCACTGCTGCAATTCTCCTCTAAACAGCTTATCTTATAATTGGCTTAAAATCATTTCAGTGTCCTCTTATTGGTTACGGAATTGATTTAAATCACTATTCTTGTTAATTGGGCCAAGTTTGATGTAGTCTTCACGATTAGCCTTTAATTTGATGCGCAGTGCATGGAATTTAACATTGCAATTTGAGAAAATTATTTTCCCTTTGCCCTGTTATAGGAAATGTGATCCTATGTATCCTATGTGATCCTATGTATAAATGTATCCTGTTCTTTACTAGAACAATTAAAGTACAAAATGTTAATAGTTTTACTAGAAAGGTTAATTTAAGTTTATAATGATTTAAAGGGAGCCGATGTGGCATATATCAATAATGCTATAGCTGGCTTTTTCGATGTATCTTTTCTAAAAAAAAAATTTATGATACCGCTGTGAAAATTTTTAGGGATATTTGAGATTATAACTGTTGTATGTTGTGGTAATGCCTCAGCGTTGAAAGGAATATTTTTGCGCCAATATGATGGAACTTTTTAAAAAAGAGAAAGTTTTCAGTTTATAATTTTTTTTTAGAATTCTGTTAAAGATATGTGTTGACAGTTATCACAGTGTAAAAATCTAACTGTAAATAATCTGTGGAAAAACTGAATCAGTATTTTATTTTGGTGCTCAGAAAAAGCACATCGAAAAAGGTCCATTTAACTACGACTTAAAAAACCAAATCTAAGTAAACCAAAAGTAGCTTTAAAGACAAAAGCTACTTTTTTATTATAACTTGATAATCCTCGCAGTTCAATAAAAAAAATTGGTGGTACTTAAATTTTTTTACAGAGATTGGGACAATACTTTTATTATGAACGAGTGTGATTGTGTAGTGTAT